TCGACCGACTCCGCAAAGGAGTTGTCTCCTCCGACTCATCTTCGGCAGGGAGCATGGCGGCCTTTAGTTCCTCGACCTCTTTGGCGAGACGCCCGTTGTCAATTTCCAAGCGTTCCCGGTCCTCACGAAAGTAGTCCCTCTCCTCGGCAATCTTCCCCGAGTTCTCTTTCTCCGCGACCAGAAGCTCGGCTTGCTCGCGGAACATCTCCTCAAAACGCTCCAGGGCAGCCTTCAACTTTCATGAGCTCGCAGTAAGGGCAGCTTTCTCCTGTTCCAGCTCTTTGATGCGATCAGAATCTGCCCCCTCCTCGGCCAGGACAACGGCCATCTCGGCCATTTTGACCATCCCGACCATGTTGACGGCCAGATGCTTTCTCCAATTTTCCTTACTTAGCCGCCTAATGGTATCAGCCTCGTCGGCGCTTACAGATAAGGGAAACCCCTCGAAGAAACCCTCCTCTTTAAAACAGGGGGGCAACCCGAAGGACCTCACCGCATTGGATTCCTCGCCGACCTCCGGCTGGCTCTCTACCCGGTTCCTCTTCCTCGGTATCAGATCAGTATGTGGCTCAACATCCTGAGCGTCCGGGGACCCTCCTGAAGTATCGCCCGAGCTAGTTGTCGGGCCCATCCTCGTCGCCTGAGGAGCTCACACCACTCTTTTGTTGACTTTTTTGTCTTGTGTCAACTTTAGAAGCCTCTCTTTTCGCCCAGCCATGTGACTTGCATAAAAGAAACCCAGGTTAATTACGAGCAAGTAACAAACGAAGAAATTCGAACAAGGTTATAAGACAAAAAATAATAACCTAACAGGTTTGCGGCCTGCCCGTAAGACTGACACTCCATAAGCGCCTTTGTGTCTATAGGTCGGGCCTCAAAGGTTGGGTAACCATCTTCGTCGAGAATATCCTTTCCCTCCCTCGTGGCCCACCGGGCAGGGAAGAAACTGTCGATATATCTGCAGAGGGTAACATAGGCCTCCTCATCTTCGGTGCTCATCCCACCTGCGGGCGTATGGTAGTGCCCGGTGCTATGCTCGTAGTGGTGCGAGGTCCAATGCAAGGGAAACTTGGCTACACGCCCCAACACCGGGCGACCCTCATCGTCTAGAAGAGCCTCCCCGTGATCGTCGGTCACCACAGTTTCTTCCTCGTACACGGACTCTAGAGCAGTTTTGGTGACCGGTCGCACGATGTACCATTTGTCCTTGAACCCCCGGACAAAATCCATATACATCCTGAACAACCTCTTCGATTGTTTCAGGGAAACCCAACTGTGCCGACCTCCCTGAGACTGGCGCTGTAAATGGAAGACTCTGAAGAAAAGAGGTATGGTCGCCCCAATTCTTAAAAAGCGGCACGTCAGTTCGAATGCCCGGAGAAAAGCAATCGAGTTGGGGTGAAGCTGCGAGGGGGCCAACTCCAAATGACTGAAGACCCCGACCTGAAAATCACTAAAAGGGAGCTTTAGGCCAAGGTCCTTAAACGCGATCTCATACATAGGAAATCCGTACTCGGGGAACTCCGAGCAGATCCGCGCGTTAAGAGACGGTCTGGTGACGACGAAATTTTTCTGAAAACCGGGCTGACTACCACCCTGCTCGATGATGGTATACGCGCTCCGACTGCGCCGACTATAAGCAGAAGCAATCCCTCTGGGCTCGGCGCCCAACCACTCTAGCAAAGGATCGTCAATGGTATCGATCAGATTCACATTTTCCTCGGCGCATTGGTCTTCCACCTCGTCACGCCCCGAGGAACACGGTTCATCAGCCATTGTCACATGCAAAGCACAGGAAACCGGTCAATTGGGGAGCAAATCCATACACTCGCCATAACTGACGGGAAGAAGAGCACGACAAGTCGAGTCACACTCCACACACGATTAAAACATTGAGGATTCAAACAAAGTCTGGAGTCACCTCCCCGACGCCAAGATACCACGACAAGTCATCCTACGGATTGCCTAAATGGGCCAACATCCCGGCCAGTCACGAATATGTCGACCTAGGCTAAGGACGTGACGAGCAATATCATAAATCCTAAACCTAAGAACTATGAAATTACCGGGCACTACCACGAATTAGGCGCCCTGAATCATGAAGATCCCGGGCAGCATTGCAAGTCACATATCTAAACTATGCATCTATCGGGCACAAACATGCGTTTGCCGGGCATAAACATGGATATGCCGGGAAAACGCATATATATATCGGGGCTAATCCCAGACGCAGATTCTCTAACATACAAAAAATGGAAAAATCATATACCACAGAGGAAAAACATGAGGGATGAGACGCTTACTTGAAATCAGGAAAGAGGTACGGCGGCGGAGAAGGAAATCAACAGCGGAAAGCACAGCGGCCCTATGAAAATCTGGAAAAAAAACAGCAGCAGCAGAGGCAGAGGAAGGAGGAGAAGCGCGAAGAGGAAAAACATATTATGTGGCCCAAAGACCCTATTTATAGTGATGACGTGGAATACGAAACGTCACCCCGGGGAACCACGAACTTCCCTCCTCGACGCATAGCTCCCCTAGGCAATGATGGCCCTATCTTCAATAGGGTGGTGTCACGGTTCCCAAGGGTTGCCTCGTGTACTCAACGGACACAGTCCGTCGAGAGTCCCCGATCACTCCCCGAGAGGAATTATCTCACGAGCACGACACAGGGGAAACTCCTCAAGCAACCACGGGGAACCAAATCTCTTGGCCGAGCATGAGACCCCGTGACAAAGGCGAGCTGAGGTCAAGTCATAACTCCTGCTCCAGGAGCCACGACTTGGGGGGCTCCTGTTCTGGACTGGACTCGGGTTGGCCCAAGAGCAAGAATGAAGGCCCAATCCAAACGGCTCTACAGGGGGCGCGCCGACCAAGAAGCTACAGCCGTGTCCGCCACTGTCCGCGAACGCAACGTCTTCGACCTCATACAGTCCAGCTCGAGTCCTGCTCGAGCACCCCTCGTAGGACAGACTATGACCGTTACACCGTTACCTGGACTCCGAAAAGACCGCGTCCTCGTCCGTCCGTACTTCTCGCAGAGCACCCAGGAAGGAGACCATGTGCGGGTCCCCACTACACACGTAGAACCTGGCAGTTCCTTTATTGGGCCAATCCTGGTCGGCCCAATGAAGGGACCTTGGCCCAGCGCTGGGGGCTATAAATACCCTCTGTTCCAAGAGGGTCAGGTATTCATTCTCTTACCATACACACACCTTTTTGCCTGCTCGTACTGCCACTTACTTTAGCATCGGAGTGCTTTGCAGGTATCCCCCCATCTCGTTCAACTTTAGCTCGGAATCAGTCGTGACGGTCCAAGTCTGATCAGGTAAGATCAGATCCCACTTGAAAACACCAATCCAATTCTAATAATCCTCTTTCTAACCCAACCAGATTTCAAAGTCTTGTAGGTATATTGTAGTATTTAACATACACTAGGTCAGAAATCATTTTTGGTTTGCAGCTTAAGCCAAATTCTCTCCCACCCAACTGAAGATCATATGTATGGTGTTATTTGAATGCTTCGTTATATCAAGGCTGCTCCTACACATGATTTTTTCTTTCCATCAAATTTCAATCACACTGTCATTTGTTTCACCGATTCTGATTGGGGTTCCTATCAACAAACAGGATATTCAATCACCGAATTTTGTTTCCAAGAAAACAATATTCCTCTCATACCTATACATTCTTACAAGCAAATTGCTGACTCAATTACAAAGGCTCTACACTTTAGACCTTTTTCTACTTTGTTTCCTAAATTAAGACCGTACAATGTACATTCCAATTTGAAGAAGGGTGTTAAACTTAGTTAGCTTGTTTTCATTTGTTTAATTTTCATGGACTTTACTAGTTGTTAGAGATAACTCATTTTAATAGGACTAGTTTGTTATTATACTGAATCTATATATATTTGTAATCCGGTTGTACATTTGAGATTAAGAAATAATACTTTTTTTTTCATTTCTTCATATTTTTCTGGTTTCATCTTTTTTTAATATGAAATATTTTTATTGGTTGAGAAATCCAATAGGCTGAATTTAGAAAAAGGATGTTAGTGTGAAATGGTGTCCATGAGCTTAATTTTTTTTAGAAGGCGTTTGTTTCACATAATTAAAATTTATTTTTAGAAATTAATTATTCAGAAAAATAAAGATAAAAAATTTATTTTAAAAAACTTTTTTTAAAAAATGTTTGACAAACATTTTGATATTCTTAAAAAAATTATAATTATAATTTTTTTTTTTTAATTTATAAAGTTTCATTGAATCTCAATTTTCATCCCTTTATATGTTAATAATTTCATGGAAATATGACAAGTTATGAAAAATTATTTTTTTTGAAATTTTTATTCTTAAAAATAATTATTTTCAAATTTGTAACGAACGTAAATATATCTCTTTCTTATTCATATATTCTTAAGAAACTTGTTTCTAAACTTGAAAGAAACAGCCTCTTAGTTTTATTTTCTCATACCAAGACTCTTTTCCAGCTTGGTGGAACGCCGCCAGGTCTGGAAAAGGCATAATTGAAGTCCAAAAAACAAATAATTTAATTTGAAATGATGAAGCAAGAAACAAACAGCTCAGTCACTCCTACTCAACAATTATAAAGACGTGCACACACCAACTCTGTTTCACCAACCACACTTTTTGGTAGATTGCATTTACATGCTCCTAGATACCATTGGCACCTTTCTTTTCTTTCGAAGTGAAGAAATTGCGACATCTCTTATAAAAAAAAGATAGTTGCAATCTTTAATGAAATTATAATTTTTTATTATAAACGTAAAGAATATTAGTCAAATAGTCACTTAAAATATTGGATAACTGATTTATTAATTGAATTACATGATTAAATTGAATTAAATCGATAATTCAGTTTAATAAATCATTATCAACCGTACGAGGGTCCGACTTGGTAGCACTTCACTATATATATTCAACATCATATCCATTTTCAAATCAAACAGAAAACTATACCAACACCACAGCGCGAGCATCATGAGTACATCAATGGCAACTTCACCTCACACTCATCTTCTCCAAAACCACAACATTTTCAACCACCCCACCAAAAAACATCACAACCTTCTCTCATTGTCCTTCAAACCCATCTCAATCAAATGCGCCACCACCCAACCCCAACAAGACCGCGTCTTCAACTTCGCCGCCGGCCCCGCCACCCTACCAGGAAACGTCCTCCTCAAAGCCCAATCAGAGCTCTACAACTGGAACGGATCCGGCATGAGCGTCATGGAAATGAGTCACAGAGGCAAAGAGTTTCTCTCCATAATCCAAAAAGCAGAATCAGATCTACGTGCCCTCTTACAGATCCCAGCTCAATACTCTCTTCTATTCCTCCAAGGCGGCGCCACCACCCAATTCGCCGCCTTGCCTTTAAACCTCTGCACCCCACAAGACACTGTCGATTACATCGTTACCGGTTCCTGGGGCGACAAAGCAGCTAAGGAAGCACAAAAGTATTGTAACCCGAAAGTAATCTGGTCTGGGAAATCTGAAAAGTATACACAGATTCCATCCTTTTATGATTTTCAACAAAACCCAGATGCTAGATATTTGCATATATGCGCAAATGAAACTATTCATGGAGTTGAGTTTAAGGATAGTAATTACCCTAACCCTAGAAATGCTACTGGGATTTTGGTCGCTGATATGTCTTCAAATTTCTGTTCAAAGCCCGTTGATGTCTCTAAATTTGGAGTTATTTATGCTGGGGCTCAGAAAAATGTAGGACCCTCTGGTGTAACAATTGTGATCATAAGAAAAGATTTGATTGGGAATGCTCAAAGTTTTACTCCAGTGATGCTTGATTATAAGATACATGATGAGAACAATTCACTTTATAACACTCCTCCATGTTATGGTATTTACATGTGTGGTTTGGTTTTTGAGGATCTTTTGAAACAAGGTGGTTTGAAGGAGGTTGAGAAGAATAACAAGAAGAAAGCTCAGATTCTGTTTGATGCTATTGATGGGAGTAGAGGGTTTTATAGGTGTCCTGTGGAGAAATCTGTGAGGTCTTTGATGAATGTTCCTTTTACTTTGGAGAAACAGGAATTGGAGGGTGAGTTTGTTAAGGAAGCTGCTAAGGAAAAGATGGTTCAACTTAAGGGACATAGGTCTGTTGGTGGTATGAGAGCTTCTATATATAATGCTATGCCCATGGCTGGAGTTGAGAAGTTGGTTGCTTTCATGAAAGATTTTCAGGCCAAGCATGCTTAGATGAGGATTATAATTTATGCTCCTATGTCTACAACAAACACTTGCATTTAGTAACTTTTGTGTTTGTTTTTCTGTGCTAATTAAAATAGGTCTCTGTCTGTTTTAGCTTTTGGGTCTTTTTTTACCTTGTCTCTGCCATGTTTTGATATTCAAATCGGGTTGTCTACACAAGTTTGTATGGATTTAAAAACTACAAATACCTTGATGTATACTAGAAAAGACTCTTGTGGATAAGTAAATATGGTGCAACTTTTTTATTGAAACAATCAGAACTTTGCAATTTGTTTGTTTTCACGAGTCAAACTCAAGGTTAAAAATCCGAGCACGTGGATGAAAGGAAAAAAAGGACAAAAGCATGCAAAGTTTGTTTTTTGAAACAAAGTTGATCACCCAACATTGTATTTATTTTGTCATGTTATTCGCATTGAGTTCCCTCGTACTATTTTAGTAGTAATATGGCTTTCTCAGCTTCCTATACACTTATATCTTACTTTTAATTTTATCATTTAGTTTTGTTCTATATTGGACCAAGACCTATTTATTCTTCAACAATTATTTCCAGATAATTAAATCAAATTTAACATCTTGATATTGAAAACAAGTTAGAAAATTAATGTTATGAATAATAAAATAATGAAATATAATTATTGTGTATGTAGAATCTAGTTGCTTATTTATTTTTCCAAGTAATTCTAATTTCATCGTTCGCAACTCTTCCCAGAGTCATTTTGTGGCCATGTCATGCAATCACCAGAAGGCTTTTAGATTCCAAAGTTCTTGACATGATGCCACTTGATCTCATCATATAACAAACTTCATCAATGTATGTTTTTATGTTATTTTGTTACATACACCCCTTTGGATATTAGAGATGGGCCAACTAGTGATAAGCCCAATAAGTCTAATGTTGTTGGACCAGTCAACACCAGGCCAAATGTGTCATTCATGTACCTGTGAAGTTCAAAGACTATGAGCTTTACAAGTGAATTTGGCTGATGGTTCTCGAAGGAGATCTAGAAATAGATTCTATTAGTGAGTCAGTGTGCCAACATAGATTTTTTCTGGATGTTGCGGACATTCCGTTAGGGAATAGTTTGTTATTTTTGCTTTATAAACAATTGTAATGCTTTGGATTAATCATGAATTAAATTATTAGTTCCTCTCCTTCTATAATTCTTTACACTACTAAAAAAAAATGACTTTTTCTTTACATTGGGTATAAAAATATATGATGTAAAAAATAAAATTAAAAAAATTTTACATCAGATTTTTATTTGCAATAATATAAAAAATATTAAAAAAATATTTTTCATTGGCTATTACATCGGGCCAATTAATCCACCAATGTAAAAGATTTTATAGAAAAAACACAGTGGCAGTTTTGTAAATAAAAAATTAGGTGACAGATTGGTAAACAAAAAACACGCAAAGCCTTACATCGGACATTGCGAACCACCGATGTAAAAAACCAGAAAACCCTTACATCGGGCCTTGCGATCCACCGATATAAAAAACCTCAAAACGTAAACATTACATCGGTTATTGATATGCACCGATGTAAAAACATGATTGTGACGTAACCATTACATCGGTTATTGATTTCCATCGATGTAAAAACTATAATATATATTTAAGAAATAAACCCTCATTGTTGTACATTTCGTTATTACTCTTCTCAAAACCCTCACTGCTACACAGTTCGTCCGTCTCCGCCCTCCGCTCCGCCTACACAGTCCGTCCGTCTCCGCCCGCCTGCACAGTCCGTTTGTCTGTCTCCGCCTACGAACGCCCTCCGCCGTCTCCTCGTAGATCCGCGGTGTCCGTCACAGGCCGCCGTCTCCCGCCGTGCACGAAGATGGTCTCGAATCTCCAGCCGTCACAGCCTGTCGCCGTCTTCGAAACCCCCTCCGTCGTCCAACTACGATTCAGGGAAAAAAAAATCTATTTTGTTGAACTTTATTGTATGTCTATGGATTTCTAAAAGGTATATATACAAAAAAGTTTTTAAGCTATTATTGTTGCTTTGCTTGCTACTGAGATACATTATAAAAAATTAGAAGTACATATAAAAACAATTAGAAAATTATACTAGATACTAACTCAGTGGCTTGGTGAATCCATTCCTTTGTTCATATATATTTTTTAATTACTAAACAGTTTATTATTATTAGAGAGGTTAATTAAGTTTAATTAGTTATAAATAGTATATATTTTGTATAGAGTTAAGAATATAGTACATGTTGTGTATATGTCATTCTTTTTTATTAGAGAAATTGTCTCTTTAGGAACTTCCGAAAGAAACGTTAATGGTTATTGGTTTCATGGAAGTCCTTGACAAAAGAACTAGGAATTAAGGTGGTTCCCACTTTTAAAATTCTGAAGGACAGCAAGATTGTAAAAGAAGTAACTGGTGCTAAATTTGATGATTTGCTCGCTGCTATTGACTGTGTTCGGTCTAGTTAGACAGTAGTATTATAATTATTCTGTTTCTACGTAAAAATATCATGTTTGATACCTTCTGTAAGTATTTCTACTGTAATTGTGAGCTTGCTAAGGGGAAGACAACAAAATGTCATCATGTTGTTGGAAGTTGTAATTGATTGTTCCCTACGTATAGGGAAAAGTTGTTCAAAATAATTTTTGTTATCAACTTGATCATGACTATCTATAAAGGTGGCTCTGATTGCTTATATTTTGGAAGAAAATAAAACAGCATTAGATAAATATGATTTGAGTCCGTGTTGTCAAGGAATATCTAATCTAGTGGGGTATTATAGTATGCCAAAACATTGTACACTTAATAATGTCTAGCAGTTCAATACACTTCGAATCAAGTTGATGCAGTTAGAAATCCTGCACATATAAAAATCCAAGCAAGTAGGAAACCCCATATAGTTGAAAATGTGGTGAAGTTACTTAAACATTGTTTAGAGCTAGGAGGGAATGGGAAATAGAGGACTTTGAAAAAGAAGAAGAAAAAAAGATTAAGTGATAAGAATTGAGAGTTATACTATATAGAGGGTTTTGGATGGTTTAATTTTATTCGTAATACAAAAATTATTTGTTTGGAGAAATAAAAAATTGAATTGGAAGTGGGTTTAGACAAATTTTTTAATTATAATTTATGTTATAATAGTTTGAAAATAAAAAATTTAGTATTGTTATTTATCATTTTATATAAAATTATTTTTTTTTTAAAATGTGAATTTTTTTCAATTCTTTTCCAAATATTCTTTTCAGAAGCTCTCCTTTCACCTCTTCTCTTAACTCGAAAATATATCCTTAGAGTATGAATCAAAGGTTCAATGGCTAAGCTAAGATTAAAAGAAAGAGATTCGGGTCTTATCTTAAAAGAGAAATTCTAGATGTACACGTGCTAAAAGAATGAGCGCGAACCAATCAGATCCTTCTAATAAAAAGTGGTAAGTGGTTTTACAAGGAAAGATCCATGATAGTGATGAAAATCATGATGAGAATCTTGATATTTCTGAAACTCATCATTTCTCAACAAATGTGACTACATTCATTGAAGAAAATGAAGGAGATGATGTGCATGTTATTCACATAGACCATGAAGAAGGAACATGTTGGATATTGTCTCTGCCAATATAACCGAGAATTAGATGCAAGTAATAAAAATAACTTTACTTTGTTATTTACTTTGTGTTTTGCAACTTAATATGAATTTTTAAAGAATAACTCTATATTGTTATATTTATGTATTATAGGTATTTGATGACCCAACAGAATTAACATATGATTTGCAACTCTGTTGGGCAAAATGTTTCTTTGAGTTATATAAAAATTAAGCTTTATCGGGTGAGTTTTATAGAATTGTCTAAGTTGTGATTTTTGCATATAATTGTTATTATTGAATTTTTGCACAGTACATGTGATTTTTCCACATGTATTGAGTTTCTTGATATTTTTTGCTGATGTTAATTGTTATTATTTATTGTCAGACAATGTGATTTTGGTGTTGTCTACCGAAGTTATAACTCATCTACTTGTGGGTTTTATATTGGTAATTCAAGTTTGGAAAAAGACTTATAAATAGTTGAATATTTTAGTATGTTTTGTGAAGAATATATATTTGTAAGTTTGTTTGTTGTGATACAATTCAAGTTTGCAATACAATTGTTCATTTTGTAAGTTTATTGTGAAAATTATGAAAATATCGACCTAGATGTGGTCTATGTGATGTTGGAAAACTATGACATATATATAGCGACCTAAATATAGTCTGTGTGATATAGAAAAATATGAAAAAATGGGTATCATTTTTTTTACAGGGAATCATCCAGAAAATAAATAATTTATTCAAAAAAAATTGCTTACATTTTACATCGGTCATTACTTCCGACCAATGTAAAAGCTGTCAAAATTGTATCTATTACATCGGGCGTAAAGCACAACCGATGTAAAAATGGTATCTTTTACATTGGTTCACACGGTCCACCGATGTAAAATCTTGCGTCAATCTCTCAGTTTGTCAGCGTCGATCGAAAAACAATCTACCCCGGATCATCCTTATGCAAGTTCCATAGTTGTTATCTAAGTTAAACCACTACAAAAATGAGGTTGATAGAATTGGGAGAATAAAAACTGCCCCCCAAACCATAACCTAACAAAACAAAATAAAAATGAATTATAAAGAAAATTTATTCTACGACCATCGTCCGACGACACAAACACGTTGCCCGACGATGCTACCTAAACTCTTGGCCCTGACTGCACCACATAGTCCACTAGTCAAAAATATCTTCCATCGTCCGACGACACCTTTATTTCTCGCTTGGAAACACAGAAGCGAAGCAAGGCAGACCCAAATGAAAAATTGGTTCATTCTCGCTCCACCGTCGCCTGGAGGCACCTTTATTCCTCACTTGGAGACATAACGACGAAGCAAGGCAGACCCAAATGGAAAATTGGTCCATTCTCGCTCCACCGTCGCTCGACGACGCAGACACGATAGTCCTCTCCCGGGCATCGCCCGACGA